ACTTTTCCATGACATTCTAATTTATTGAGATGCACCTGTATAAGAAACTATTCAGATTAAATGAAAATAGAACATGTAACACTATAACACATCTATCTAAGGCTTTGTGAAGCATTACATTTAACATTTATCTTGATAAAAATGCTTTCCCTAGTAAAAATGAAAATTTCAATTCATTTGATTTCTGCTTCCTTACACTCAGATTATTGCAACTGCATCTGAAGTCTGAATTTCCTTCTTTCGGACAGAAGTACTATGATCACTATAAAGCTTCCATCCTCTCTACAATAGAAGCAATGACAGTTCTGTTATACCTATTCAGCATGTGTCTCACACACACAATGTAGCCTTTGCCGAAGATCTGCCATTTTGTATTACACATATTAGACTCTCTGCAATATTCCCTTTGCTTAACATAATCTTTCATCTGGTAGAGTTTGAGCGAATTCAGTGTTGTAATGCATTCTGACAGTGTGCAGATTGCTCAGAAAGATCACTGGATACAATTGAAACCAAAGTCATTTACATTAATGGGTTTTCATTACATACAGCTTACTTGTGCTAAGAGGAAGCACACAGGTTACACAGTTCCAGTTCTGTCTTTGGTAGAGCAGGTATGAGTTTATTATAATTGTGTAATGGAATCATGAATATGATGTAAAGGGTGTTTTAGATTTGTAAATGCTTATATGTCTTTAATACAATACAATAATGTAAGTACACTGTAACACTGCAAAAGTATGTGCAAAATTTAAAGGCTGAGAGTATGTCATTGTATCAGCTGCACAGATGATCCTGCTATGTATAATTTCAATATGTGTGTATTAGTTATTACTAGATATTTTGTAAACGGCTTTGCATTTCTAATGTTACTAGCACAATACATTTGTTTCTCTCTCTTTCGTGTTTGTACCACCTTCTGCACTGTTAAAAATTTCCTGTAGAAATTACAGTACTGGCAGCAGTTCGCCAGTAACTTACTGTAAATTAAACTTACAGTAAAAATACTGTATTCATATGTACAGTACCATTTAACTTGCTGTAAATGTATTTACAGTATGTATACTGTACTTTTACAGTTTTTACTGTAAAACATACGGTAATTTTATGGTCTTTTCTCCAATAACGTACTGAAATACAAGAAAATATATATAATTTCAATGAAAATAAGCAATGACAACTGTATAACTTTTAATTTTTTAATTGTTCAATTGTAATCCTTGTATAAATAAACCTGTGCATCAGCTTTTCGGGAGACAGCATGCAGCTGTTAAGATGGAGATGTATTGTTATTGCATATCTGGAAGTCATATGATCTGTGAGAAACCACATCACTGAAAATGATGTATGGATGACGTTTTGAAAGCTTAAATAAAGCCATTTTTGTTCTCATCTATAAAACAGATGTTCTGTGAGCAGTTACTGTGTTTGTGCGCAGTGTCCTGATTTGTCCTGATCTCCTGATTGTTTGCTTATGAAGGTTATTCTTATAAAATGACTTCCCCAAAAGTTTGTTATATGAGAAATGTTACATTTGACTAAAAACACAGAGATTTAAAGTGACCCAACATCTGTGTGTGTTTTGCCATAGAGATGTAACATGTACCACAATTCTTTTTGTACTGTCATCACTATTATTGAAAATGGGTTTTGTTAACTTCACATGCAATGAGGGCTGATTCGTTTGGCTTTGCATGTGGATGTTGGAATATGGACCATAAACAACAACAAGAAACAACAACAAAAAACTTGAGTGAATGAATCATGGAAGAAGTTCACATGAGTAGTCTGTACTCACTGTTTGTTTCTGAAGGCATTATGAAGGGGACAAGCCAACACTTTCAAATAATGTGTCCAATGTGTTAAAATATGATCTGACTCACTCAGCCAACATTTTTTTTATAAGAATAGGCAGTTTAATTAATTAATTGATTGTTCGTCTTGTGATAAGCATACAGTATTGTGTGTTTTCAATATCTATTCTTGAACTATTTCACATGTAAGTTCCTCAACTTCTCCTTATATTTTACAGTGTGATATAAAACTCATTTTATTAGTATTCCTTCTGTTCCCAAATTTTACCATGACAGTAACAAGAGAAAATTCCACTCTAACAACTCCATTTAATCTCAGACCTAAGACTACTATAACACATATGTGTTTGTTTAACATATTAAAATGACCAGTCATGTGACACTCTTAGTCAACTTATCTTGTTTTAGCCAGTGGTCTATTTACCTTAGCAGTGTTGGGCAAGTTACTCTGAAAATGTAATCAAATTACTGATTACTGATTACTCCTTTTAAAAGTAATCACGTTACTGTTCTGATTACTTTATTTCAAAAGTAATTAGTTACATTACTAGTTACGTTACTTTTTTCTCCATTAAATGTATGAAATTCCAGATTCTATTTTGCGGGAGTCCCGTGAATCATTTTATTCTCCCGCACCCCGCACACACACGAGTGTCTACCCGCCCGCACCAGGGGCCTCATTTATAAAGTGTTGCGTATAAACCGTCCTAAATTTGTTTCTCAAAAGTGTGTAAGTGCGATTCAGAGAAAACGAACATGCGCACAAAAAACTAGTAGAAGTAGTAGTAGTAAATATAAAACAGTTAGGTTTCCAAAAGTCATCTTATAAAAAGTGAGCCATCCTATTTTTAAAATCACTTGCTATGACAACTAATAAAAAGTTTAGTATCACGAAATTCTTGCAAAACTTTAAAAAACATTATTGAAAGAGAAATTGGACGTTTCATATCATAATAAAATAAATTATTACACGATTATGGTCTCCGGTCTGAAAAAACCTGCCATGTGATTTGACATTTCTTTATATTTACAGTTTACTAATGCTGCTCAGATGTGCCATTAATGTACTGAAATATAGTAGGGCTGCCCTCGCCTAAGCACGTTTTGTTGTTATTGTGAGTGCACATAAATAAACATAGAGTCTTTACAGATTTGAAAGATGTATTACTCTTATCTGTATGACCCAAAATTACGGAGTAGCCTATTTTAAGGCAAGTGAGCGCACAGGCGCCTCCATCTGTCCTTCAGTGAGCGCTAATGTTCAGCTGCCACACAGACACTTGAATATAGCGCGCATTGCTCTAGGTTAACATTAGATTGAGCGGCCATGTAAAGTTGCTAATACTTGCATATTTCAGATGATTTGTGGTGGATGATTGATAAGCGAGCGTTTGGATGTCCTGCCGGATGTAGACTACTGTATTACCATAGATTAGCTAGCCGTTAACGATCTGCGTTACTTTGCCAATGTGTTTTTTTTCCAAACTAAGCAACTAAAAAATTTTGGTCGACCAAGTCTCTTCTGGTCGACTAACGATTAGTCGACTATTAGGGGGCAGCCCTAATATATAGTGTATTTTATACAAGTATAACTGATGTAAATGCAAAAACAAAGTTTAAGGCTGATGTCTCTATTAATTTTCACAGAAGCAAAGCAACTGATGTTATAAATAAAAACCGTTAACAATGTTATTGAATATAATATATTAAAACCGTTATTGCACGACATAGGCCTATTCTTTTTTTCTATTTTACACATTAGTAGTAAATCAAGACTTCGCAAGTTCTCTTGTAAAATAAAATAAAATAACAACATGGAATAAACTGTGTACGAAAGCAAGTAAAGAACTCTCAAAATTAGGCTACTAAAAAGGTCAGTTTAATCTCGCAAAAACTCACGTTAATAAAAAATCGGACTACACTGCATTAATCTCTTGCATATTTATTGTTTATGATGAATTCGGCGCTTGCACGTACACCGCTTTTATTATTATTGCAGCTTAGATGTTCAAATAGCAGCAGTACTCAGTCTTTGCCACAAAGAAAAGTGCGTACGTCTGCTCAGACCCTGACGTGACGGTAAGTACTTTTCCACGTCAAAGACCGTTTTTATAAATATGAAAGTTGCCGTGGATTTTAGCGTACGCACACCCTAAGATCAAATCTGTGCGTACGCACATTTTATAAATGTTTTAAATGCCCCAGGTCTCTAATCCACTGGCACTTGACTGGACAGCGCGTGTGCTACATCCTTTTTACAATCTATAGATTATAAAACACTGCATTCTGTCAGCAATGTAACGCGGCAGTAACGTATAGAGACTTCGGCTTGTAACTATACTCTAATTACTATTTTGAAAACTATAACGCGTTAAATTACTCCATTACTAAAAAAGTAATCAAATTACAGTAACGCGTTACTAAGTAATGCGTTACTGCCCAACACTGCCTAGTAGAGGGATTCCTAGAATGAAAAATAAAATAAAATGTAATCTGAATAAACAACAGAATAAAATAAAATAACATTTGAAATAAAATATTTGCTTGAAATACCCCCATGAGATTTTAAGGAATATTTCAAGAATTGAATAACACATTCATATTCACTCTGATGTCAGTTAATGGTCACACTGTTTAGTGTTTTATTTTTATTGTTTTTCTTTTTAAAATTATTTGTGCTAATTACATTTATATGATTTAATTATTATCTTTTCATTAAACCCCAGTTTGGGAAACTCTGACCTCACACATACCACTTTTCAGTCAACATACACTGCAAGATTGGTGAGTAAGGTTTGTAAATTATTTTTATTTGAAATTCATAATCTGCCAAAATAATATTAATATATAGCTGATTTTTATGGTACTGATATTCATTGTAACTTAGCACTAGCTAACAATTTTGCTGAATTTTAGTGTTAGCAATGTTTAATTTAATACGAAAAACAAGTGGAATGTTTCAGTCTACACAACTAACATATAATCTGATATAAACCACTCATTAGGTTTTATGCTGAGGAGTCGAGAACATGTCCCGGCAACAGCGAGTGACTCAAGGTTGTGGCATGGGGACATAACGTCTCTGTTCCCTCCATCAACGAAGAGAAATAGCAAAGCGCTCAAATGCACTAAAATAAGAATCTACTTCTGACTCTCTAAATTGAGGTACTAATGCAATGTGCTTACTCATGTCAAACGTATACTGAGATGAGTCACCCAGCAGAGGAGCATCAGTGGGGACCTGACCTGGGTATGACTGTGCAGCTGATCCAGAAGCAACCTCCATTGCCTTTAGATCAAGCTGTCGCAGCTTCACCTGTTTGTCAGCCTCAATTTCAAGTCTGTGAACTGCCAAACGCAGATTTAGCTCAGCCTGACGTGCTTGGGCTTCCTCTTGGGCCTCGTAATGCAACCGGGCCAGGCGGACTTTCAGTTGCGCGTCCTCTCTGGAGTCAACAGAGCTGGGAGAGAATGGATCAAAAGGTGGCAAGCCGGACTTAGCATCGGGCTCTGCCTCAGCATCAGCTTTACCATTTTGCAGATCATCATCCCCGAGACTGAGACGCCCCACAACAATGTCCTCATGGCTTGAAACTCCGCAAGTAACAACTTCATCAGCTGTATTTGACATAGGGATAACTTTTAATTCAGTCAAGCACTGTACCAATTTACTCTTTGTGTCTCTCGACTTTGTTTACTTACAACAATCTGATAGTGGTCAGCTATCAGAAACAAATCTTGCTTCCTGCATGAATTAATCTGCTCTAATGACGGGGCGATAATAAAATTCTGCAGGCTAAACATTCCCACAATGCACAACCAGCAAACAAACACTGCTAAATGATTCTGCATAAGAATGCCACTGCGATACCCCAACTAAAGTACCGTTGATTACTACCAGCATACACACAAAACTGTCACAAACTGTTTGGGACTGATCCCGAACGAGCCCCCATTAATGTTACAACTTTTAATTTATAGTCTAGGGATGGAAGTAGTAACATTGAGATTGTGACCAGCTTTGCGTAAATGCACATGGCAAGAGACAAAGCGCAAACCAAAAGTGCCAACAAAGGATAATTTATTTTACAAAATTAAGGAAAAGTAAGAAATATCAATATTAACGACAGCAACAATAATAATAAATATAATAGTAACAATAAAGAAGCAGCAATAACAAAAGGTTAAAGGGGTCATATGATGCGATTTCTCCGATCACAAATGCAGACATGGTTTTATGTTTACGCGGTGCGATGCAACGCAACGAGTAAAAAGACAGTATAAGTCATTATAATCCATAATTATGTCCCCACTGGATGCAACAAATGCCTCGTTTATAATGGGTTTTCATGTTTTTGAATCATCGCTCCGGCCTGACAGGGCATCATCACAATGTGGCAAGGGGCGTAACATTGCCGTCTCACGCTTGAGGTATTCGGCCAATCACAACGCACTGGATAGCTGGCCAATCACAGCACACCTCGCTTTTTCAGACCGATGAGCTTTGTAAAAATCGATGCGTTTCAGAAAGGAGGGGGATAGAGGAGAAACAATAATGTACAGTATGTGGAAAATAATGTGTTTTTTGAACCTTAAACCGCATAAACACATTTCATTACACCAAATACACAAAATACTGTTCTTTTTAGCAGCATCATATGACCCCTTTAAGTAAAAATTATATACAATATTTACATAAGAAAATCAAAACAAAATAAACCCACAGAAGAAAAGAACACAAGTGGCGCTAATGAAAAGAAAAGAACAAAACAAAACCAATCTAACTCAATTTCAATCTCTAACCTAACTAAAGGGGGCAATGAAAGCAAGTCTTCGGCATTTACATGCCCTTACTTACCTACTCTAAGCTAGCCAAACAGAAAGATACATAAGCAGCACTCACTTCTAACCTGATGTGTCTATACACTGGAATCACTAGATGTTTGTAGTGTGTACGTCACGTGACATACTACCTGACCAAAGCTCCCGTGGTAAAGCGAAGGTTGTCATCAGCAAACAACAATACAGACTGAAGGAAAAATAATCACATGATTAAAGAAGATGATAAATTATAACAGGAAGGTATGACACAAAAACACCATAAACAAAAAAAGAAAGACAAATTAATAATCACTAGAATGGAGCAGGAGTTCATCTAGACGTCTCTTTTAAAAAACTGGCGATAGCCCGGATTGGCAGTGGAGGCCATGATGTCCCTCGAGTTAATAAAGATTGACAGCCTCCTAAGCCAATAGCAATCCTGAGGGGTTGATCCTAAGAAAATGACAGGGAGGAAGAAAAAGCGAGAGAGAGAGAGAGAGAGAGAGCGAGAGAGAGAGGGAGGAAAGAGGGAGGAGGGAGAGAGAGAGAGAGAGAGAGAGAGAGAGAGAGAGAGACAAAAAAAACCTGCCGAGACATAACACTCCTCCCAATACATAAATCAACATGTTCACATTAGTCACATGGTCTGAATTTTCCCGCTCTTGCAGAATATAATTTAAACATGATTTCTATAACAAGAATCTGATACATTTTACAAAGAATTGATTGATAGAAATGTTTGAAGGAAAGATTTTCAAACTTATACAGGCCAAACATGAGTATAAACCTATAAACTATTCAATAGATATTCAAAAAGACATACATAATGAGTGATTATGACATGATAGTCAAATGTGTGGGTTACATACATGATATGGAGTTATGTATAGGAATTATATTTGCTCATAAGTCCTTTTAGCATAATTTTTTTTACATGAGAAATGCTAAGCAGGTGTAGCATGTAGCTTATATAAAAAGCTACAAAATATATTTCTGCCTCGTTATTTGTCAAAATACACATTAGATCGGAGGATATTGCAAACACTTGATAGTGCTTTAAAAGAATGTTATGAGTAAAAGCATATTATTAATCTTATAAACTGTAGCTTGATGGTAATTGCAATGCAGCTGTTACCATGGTACAATTATATTTCATGATGTATTTTCGCAATAGGTCCTGCGAACATTTGGTAACACTTTATTTTGATGGTCCCTTTTGAAAATTCTGTTGACAATAAGTAATGTTCCACCTACATGTCTACTAACTCTCATCAGAGTATTAGTAGGCTGTTTGCTTAAAGGGTTAGTTCACCCAAAAATGAAAACTAGCCCATAAATTACTCACCCTCAAGTCATCCTAGGTGTTTATGACTTTCTTCTTCAGATGCATTTGCACTGTGAATGTGCCTCAGATGCAATCAGCAGAAGCTGTGTATGTAAAGGTGTGAACCAAATGGTCCATACAGTTTCCATACAGCATTTCTCAGGAACTTCTTGTAGATTGCCGGATCTCCAGCGGGAAGACAGCATCTATTGTTTGTAGCCCTTTTGTCTTCAGGTATAAAGTTCTGTCTCACAGACAGAACTTTGGGAGAAGCTGAGATTCTTACAAGGGTTACGATTCTTTGAAGGACTACATGCTAACATCACTGCTAAAAAACTGCTACACTACTGCCTTCAATAAATTCTTCTCCCAACAAGAACTTTGGCCAAGCATACTTGTTTTATGTATTAGAGAAATATAGTACATTGGCAAGCCACCCAAACGATTGCTCAGCCAAATACAACAAAATCTAACAGCACATTCAACTGAAGGCCCCGTCAGTACCCATTAAAGAGAACTTCCCAGCATAAAGGCAAAGTTATATTATGAATATTTATTGAGAAGAAAGATATCGACACAAAGTACATTGTACCTAACATTGAATACAATTTCTTAGATGGTGTGTGACAATTTTAGAAGCAAATGGGTCTGGATTATGATAAAAATACTGGTACAAATTTTAAATTGAGATCAAGGTGAAGAGTAAACTTCTGCTAAAGAAATCTAAAGTTTTCAGTATCTGAAGAGTTGGAACATTGCTCCTGATAGATAGAGCATGTCACATCAGGTTTGTAAGTTGTTCTTGTATTTAATTTGGACCTGTTCCTTGGGATAGATAAAAAAAATGTATTTTTGGCATCAGTTCCAACCCTGCTCCAACACATCTGTGTAATTATTGAGTATTCCTTATGGCAAGACACTAACAGATCTTGCCATCCTTCACCAGCTGATTGATTACATTTAAGAATTGCAAACATGTTTTGTATTATAAGTTTTCTGAATGTAATGTTTAAATGTGCAAATAAGGTATTATCTAATTAAATATTCACTAATTTGCATACAATTCCAGAACAGAAATCTGAACATTGGATAAAGTCAGGTTCATTTTTTTTTTCATTTAGTTTCATTTTGAGTAAAATGTTGTTTAAACTGAGGCAAATGACATAAGAACAAATTCCTCTGTAAAAACATTCAGAATATAGATTAGTCAATATATATTCAAATAGCTACAAGTATGAGATAATGTGTTTTTAAATGTTTACTAATGAACTTACTGAACATTAAATAATGATTAACAGAACAGTTAAAGTAAATTAAAAAGCTTACAAAAATGTCATATATCATGCATATTTTAAAATCTACAAATGATTTTAACAGATATTATATAACAGCTTATTTATTAATGTGCATTTGAATGCTTTGAAATGCCATTAAATTGGTTGTTTAATCTGATTAAAATTATTTGTATATAATCTAATGCACATTTTTACATTTAAAAATGATGTAAAAATGTTAGTAATTTTAAGCACTCATTATTCATTTGACGTATGATTCATTAACCAATCTGTAAACGTCACACATTTGCATTTTTTAAGTATTTATGCAGACTTCTACTACAGTACTTTCACATCTTTACAAATGTCACACAACAGAAGGATGCTGACAGGTAAGTTGTATAAAACAGAGTTTATTGAACAGAGGCACAGAACTGGACAGGAATGCAGACTGGTGAGTAGATGACAATATGCAGAATGTATGTAGAATTAGCTTGTTATAACAGTAAAGACTTTCTTGCAGGAGAACGGATCCGAAGCAGGCAAAGGGCAGATGACGCATGACAGAAGACAGGTAAGGATTCCAATGAGCAGGTAAGTAACAGGTAAGGAGTCTTTAGTGTCCGTAAGGACGAGACCAGACAAGGGAGTGCAGGAGAAGTGTCTCTTTATAATGAGTGTTAATAATGAGTTGCAGGTGCAGTGAATCAGAATTCTGGGGAAAGTGAACGAGTGGGTGGAGCGTGCTGATGGTGACAATGGATTGTAATTGGTCTGTGATGGTTGTGACTCTGCGACAACAAATAATTTATTAATCATTAGTTCATGTTTTTGTAGTACCCAATCTAAAGTTGAAATTATTCATCATTAGTAAATGTTTATAACTGTTTACTATTAAAATCCTATTTAGCTGGTTCAGATGTATTTGCAGAAAAGTAGAACTCCAGGAATAGGACTGAGCACCTCTGATGTAATATGTGAGCTCCCCCATATACAATTTATCCCAAAACCATGGAGTTACCCTTATGAAAGTTAACCATGGTTTTACTACAAACAAAACAAACAAAACATAGTTACTATTGTTAAACCATAGTTTAACCATGGTATTTGTAGTAAAACTGTGGTTATATAAATGGTAATCAACACACCAGAAAGCAATGGTTACTACACTTTTACTACAATAAAACCATGGTTAATTTTCATAAGGGTGGG